TCGAGGAGGCGGTATCCCGAGCCTGCGAACAACACGTGCCAGCTTCCAGACGGGTGAGTAATTCTCTGAACCTTGATCAGAATACTAAAAACCTAATCAGACTCCGTAACGCCATGCGTAGGCAGTACCAGAGAACTGGACTGCTTACCTTGAAGACCCATTCCAAACTTATCAAAGCAAAAATGGTGGAACTAAGAAATGTTCCCTCCCAGAATGTGCAAAACCCTTTTGGAAACTAACATATTTAAGTCATCAAAACTAAAACGAGGCCTATTCCACCGCTGGTTCCACTGAATTGTCCCGACGGTTCAGTGGTTCACCTGATAACACCTGAAGAGAAGGCTGCCGTGATAGGTCAACATTTCGTCAGCTCCCACAATCTCGGACAAAACATCACCAGCCCACACGAAGCTGAGGTTGCTGAAAATTTTACCAATCTCCACCAGGTTCCTAACATCTTTCCCAAGGAATCCGAGATCATGGCTGATGAACTGTTGGCTTAAATCAACTTTTGGAAGTTGAATGAAGGCCCCAGGTTTCGACAACATTCTGAATCTGGAGCTCAAACACTTGAGTTGGTTACTTCCCCTCGTGCTGGATGTTAGATGTCATCCCCATTGGGAAACCTGAGAAGGATCCTTCCTCTCCTTCAAGTTACCGACCCATCAGCCTTCTCTAAGGGTTATCCAAGCTGTTCAAAAGGGCAGTTTACAGCTGGCTTCTGCCGAAGAAACAACAGTTTGGTTTTCGAAAAGGTCGATCAACCGTCCACCAACTGACCCGAGTAACACACATTCTTAGACTGAACAAGGCTATTTCAAAAACATCTGCCATGGCATTGTTAGACGTTGAAAAAGCGTTTGACAATGTATTCCGATCTTCCTCATGAAGCTTATACAAAATTATCTATCGGACAGGACGTTCCAGGTCTCTCTGAACATGGCCTTTAACATCGGTGCATGTGTGCCCCAAGGAAGTATCCTTGGGCCCATCCTGTTCAACCTATTTACCTTCGATATTCTGGCTCTCCCTGATGGTGGATCGTTGTTTGCAGACGACACATCCATCGTCTACAAGGGTACGGTCATCGGAGTTCTGACTTCCAAACTCCAGAGAGGCTTGGATGTTCTGTCTGAGTATTTCAACAGCTGGAAGATCCGTATCAACGTGGCGAAGACCCAGGTCATAATTTTTCCACACTCTAAATCTCCCAGACTGTTCCGTCTAAGAATAACAAAATCTGCCTAAACGGCACAGTGGTGGAGTGGTCCAAAGAGGTAGTCTACCTCGGAGTAACACTCGACAGCAAGCTGATTTTCAGGGAGCATCCAAGATCACCCGATTCCGCTCAAGAAAACAGTACGTATTCTGGGGGTAGTACTGGATCTAAGCTTCAACCGGCTCTTCAGGATGGTGAAAAAAAACTGTCGTAGCCGCATCAACATAGTCAGGACAATATCCCGCCCGCATCGCTCCAGCAACCGTGAGATCTGCCTTCGTGTCGCTCGGGCTGTTATCGACAGTCGACTTTTCTACGGCCTTGAAATAACCTGCTTAGCCACCGAGAGGCTCAACCACACCCTCGCTCCGGTATACAATACCTACGTACGCATCGTAACCGGCCTTCTCCCTTCCACGCCTGCAGACGCCGCATGTGTGGAAATCGGAATCCTCCTTTTCCGCTATCGATCTGCTGCAGCCATTGCTACGAAAGCCGCTGCCCTCGCTGCTAAGACATCCGGGAATGAAAGGGTCTTTCTCCTCAACGAGGGGAACAGAGCCCTCAGCACTGCAGCCAACCGTGACCTCCCCCGGTGGCCAGGGTCCACTGGCATGGAGAGAAGACTTGGCGATCAAACGTCGTCAAAATAGATAAGCGGATTAAGAGTGGATTCCAAGCCGGAGATAACTCTGTAGCTTTGAGACGTTCTGTCGCAGAGCTTCTCGGGTCGGTTTATCCGGGGCACGTTCATCGTTTTACGGACGGATCGCGGTCGCGGGCTGGACTTGGACTCAGAGTGGCAGGACCAAACACTGCAACGAGTCAAAGTCTACCGGAGGAGTGTCATCCAAGCGCTGGAAGCCGAAGCCCCGAGCCACCCCTGGATACAAGCTGATTACACGGTACGCCCCACCTTCAACCGTCTTTACGTGGATCCCCGGACACTGCGGTGTTCCCAGAAACGAGGCTGCGGACAAACTGGCGGGATCTGGCGCATCCCGTCCCCGCTACACCAGGAACGTACCTCTCCTCGACGTCAGGCGTTGGATTGTGAATATCATTATGGAAGCCTGGCAGCAGGAATGTTTCCTAAGGAAGATCAAGGGAACCGTACGCTCCTGGCCGAACATGCAAAAGTACATGGACCAGCGGATCATCTCAAGACTCCGGACCGGCCATGCGAGGATTTCCTGTAATTTCGGTGGGACATCTTTCCGCAAGGTCTGTTCAATCTGCAGCATCCCCGCCTCGGTAGAACACGTGTTGTGTGTCTGCCCGGAGTTCCAGAAGCTACGCGAAAAACATAGACTCCCGGAGAACGTCAGTAATCTGCAACGACCTCTCGACGTTGGCTGCGCTGATCGCCTTTCTTAAAGAAGCCCACTTGTATGACCAAATCTAGCCCCCCGTCGGTGGCTGCACTGATCGTGTGTTCCTCACGTTTCTATTTTTTTTCTGCCGTCGGGATTTCTCCGCCGGACCGGGCACTGTCTCCTACGGTGGAGCTCTACCTTGTTCGCGCACCCAGTCCTCACCACAGTCCCGATCTAATCCTCACCTTACATTAAGTTTTTTAAATGTTGTCTGTCTCATTCGTTGGGTAATCAGAGCCGGTTATACGTCACGTTCATGTCAAATTGAAACCTATTTTTTAGGCAGGATCTAGCCTGATCATCTGCTGTATAACATGATGAGCTAGCCTACGGCTTAAAAAAAAAGTCAGGGAGCATGTTGACAAAACAAAAACAAAATGCAACATCTTGATAAGGCTAATCAATAGGAAGTCCACCCTATCCCTGAAAAACAAGCTTGCTGTCTACAAGCAAATAATTCTTCCCGTCATATTGTACGAGTTGGCAATCTGGGAGAGTTGGGCACATGCTCATCACCTCAAACTACAGAGGATCGAGAACAAAATCCTGAGGATGATCCTCAACAGTCCACCGCGTACTAGAAATTCTGAAGTCCACCACCTGGCTGGTCCTCAGACCTTGGCGTTACAGAGAACTGCGACCATCAAAAGGTTCAGAGATTGCTGCATGCGATCCGATCAACAGATCATTAGGGCTCTGGCACGTTAGGTTAGGCAACTAGGTTAAGTAGGTAGAATATCAAATTTTCTAATTAAAATCAACAAATATGCTTTCCTTAAAAGCAAAATGTAAACTATTACAATGTAAAACTAAAATCAAACAGCAACTTGTTACAGACATAATCACTAAAGATGAAGAGCTTTCGGGCTAAATCAATTGAAATGTACAATAATTGTAAACCACAAGACAATAAGTAAATAAACAAACATTTTAGTAGCAGTAGCTTCTAAAAGAAATGCTTTAATAAAACTTCTAAAAAGAGCTTTTAAAATAACTTTCAAAAGAAGCTTCTTGAGAAGATTCCAAAAGATGCTTCTTAGGAAGCTCATTCTAGAAGCACCTCTAACTAAAAAAAACACGGTCAGCAAAGTAGATCTGAGTAGCTTCGCAGTAAAAGAGCATTTTTCCAAGCTTTAAGGATTATTTCATGCCCAAGGGCAATTCAATTACATTATATTAATGTCTGCTAAGTATTTGATCCCATTTTAAAATTTTAAATTTTTTCCGTATTTAAATCAATTTACATTCATTTATTACCTAGTTGCTCCAGTTAATGCAGTATGGTAAAAGTACACTTATTTGGTATACCAGGTTGTAAGAAGCTTATATTTAAATTTGCTGGCGTTTACAGTGCATGTAAAACTGCCCAATTGAATTTCCGTAAAATTAAACTTATTTTCAAAATGATTCCGTTCGGGACCCTTTTTAGTGGAAATCATTTATCTTTCATTATATTGCACTATAGAACAAACATGCATGTCATACTCTTTCATTCTGTTATTTTTTCTGTCGACTCACTGATTCTGATGATGTTATCGTGGTATTCGGCGTCGTCTTCATCTACCCTGCCTCTATATCCACAGCCTACGATGGATGGACACACGGGACAGTTATGTGGCTTGGCTGGGTTCCGCAGTCAAGTCACGAGATGGATGGCGGGTGTAATCTACTATGCCATGTAGATGTGTGTATACTTAAGCAGTTGTTTGTATGCCCAGCAGTGTGAAAGGAATGACTCAACCGAATGACGAAAGGCGGCAGGGTTGCAGCAGCAGCAGCACCGGTGAGTGACGACAATCCAACGACCAAAACGGGTGGTGGAGCGCGAGTTGATGGTATGATGACTCGCCACCACCGTTGTCGTCGTGTATGAACTTGGCATCGCTAATGGGTGTAGGGTTTTCCGATGGGTGGTGCATGGGAGTTGGAGGATGGCGGAATGGAAAATTGAAATGCAGGCCATTATTATTTAAAGTCACGTCACGGAAGAAGAGTGCCAAGCACAAGAACATCGACTGGGGGCAAATAGATGAAGAAGAATACGACGAGGAAAAAATATGGAGGCAAACGGCGCGTGCGTGTCAATACACATGCAAACTCGCTACAGGGTGGATATATGTAGTGGGCAGAGCACGTCTTGAGTGCAAATTAACTTTTTTTCTGCCGTTAAATTTAAAATGTAATCAAATTTTTAAAATTTAATCACTGCATATAATCATATCTTGTGAGGGTGATTATTATCATTGGCCTAGGGCGTCGAAATGAAGGCGGGGCTTCCTCAACTCATTCACCTGGGATAAGTTGCAAGGTGTGAAATTATAATAAGGTTCTATATTCAATTTGGTTAATATCCATTTAGTTTAAATCGTACAAGTTATTTTGTTAGGCTAGCAAAAATACACGATATTATACTTGCAAAGTGATTAAGATTTATTCATCAATTCTAACTGCTTCTTAGCACAAACTTACATTAATCGATCAAAAATTCACTCTCCATTTTCACCTTGGTAGGATCGTACGATGACTCTTGGTAGGGTTGAGGATCGCCGCTTATCAATATCTCATCGATGACATCGTAAATCCGTCGTTTGAACTTTCGTTTTTGCACCGGGGTCATCATTCTCATGTCATCCTTTAAACTCAGCAGAAACAGCTCGTCAGATTTGGCAGTCAGTTCATCCTGATGAACAAAGCCGCTACCGCCATTGGTGCCACTGGTGCCGCCACCGCCGTTCTCACTGTCCGCCTTCATACTGTAATACTGTTTTGCGACTTCATCAGGAGAGTCTCGAGATTTGCGTTTACGCACTGAATTGGTTTGTCGCGTTGTCTCCAGGGTTCTGTGTTCGGCAGTTTCTGGTAAGCTGCTGAGTATAATCTCTGGTTCCGAAGGCAAAACCAGTGGCTTCTCTTCGGGTTCCGTATCCTGTGATTCCAGCTCCATCATAACGGTTACTTCCTGATCGTCGTCGTACCCATCGAAGCCTTCCTCATCCTGTTGTTTTTTGGAAACCTTCATAAGCGGAACCAGAAACTTTAGCGCATCGCTTAGGTAGTAGTCCTTCTTTGGCGTTATGCCGACACTTCCGAACAGGTGCCGACGGAATACGGTACGGATGTTCTTCCATCTGAGCTTGCAGTCTCGGACTGGAATGGTAAATAGGAGATTGTTTGCGTTTTATATTATCGCTGTGCCAAAATAAGGTGTCAGGAATAGTAAGCAGATTAGAGAGATGAACCAGCTTGAACCGGTTGAAATTCAAGACAAAAAATGTAAGCAGATTGGGAATTATTATGGCCGTTTGCAGAGATTCCAAATTTTTAGAAAAACTATGGAGAAAAATAATTCCCGCTAGAATAATAAAGAATAGGAATAAGAATGTACAGTGAATTTCCAGAGTATTTGGGAGGAAATTTCGTAAGTGTCCAGCACTAAATTCCGAATCTGTTATGGAGAAACCTTTTAGGAAATACCGGAGGGAATCAAATCTGTTTTTAGGGGAATCCTGAAAGCAACTCTCACGCTAATTATCCTAAGGAAATCCTTAAGAAATTTCGAAAGGTTTTCCGAGAAATAATTGATAACTGTACAAAATCCCATACACAGTAATTCAAGTCCAAGATAAAAATTCTGAGATTTTGATTGCTAACCAATTTGAAAATCCTGGTATAAGAAAACTGTTCAAAATTATGGGAGCAGAAATACAAGAAAAGTGCAACAGTGTGAGGGGTCTGACATCTCCAGGCCACTGCTAGAGTCTATATCAACAACGCAGTTTGACAGTAGGCAGCATATCCCGGGTCCAAATAATTTGTTTTGCTGCCTTGGGCCCGCTGTCACGTACGATATGGTTCTATCATTGGCCTGGAGATTTCAAACTCGTAAAAAAATTCCATACGTCTTCCGCAAATTCAATACCCCAGACTTTGATAAATTTTCAAGATTTTGTGACATGAAAAATTTTAAAGGTTCTAAATAAAAAAAAAAAAACATATTCAAAATGTCCGACATCAGACATCCAAGAACTTTTTAAGATTGCAAAAATTAACAAAAAGGCACGTGTCTGAGGCTTAGGATGTTTTAATGATTTAATGAATTTTTCAGAATTCCGAGCTTGAAGAAATATTCTTGAAGAAGATTCTAATTGAAATATTCGAGACATCGGACTTAGAGTTTTTAATTCAATAGAACTTAATTAAAATAGGGTAAATGACGGCTTCGGCATTCATTTACTGTTTTTGGCAACCAAAACGCAAACATTAATTGCACTATAATTTCACACCAAATCACTTCGCTGAATGCTGGTTAACACGCAGTTCAAATCAAATGGAAAGGTTGCCGAAGAAAAAGAGACTGCCGATAAAAGTAACACTCAACTGAGAAGTTTGGAGCATTGTAGAAACGTTTTCAAACAATTTTGGACAAATTTGTCGATTAGAATGAATAGAGCACCAGGCAGCAGAAGATTTAAATCAAATAATCACGTCGTGTCGCTAAGAAAATGCTAGTGATCGTGCATGCTTCGTCTTTGGCTTTATTATGCTCCTAGTGTGACTATACGTCGGCTCTCAACTTAGTGTTCTTTGAACATTTCCACAGTTGTTAACTGACAAAAGCCCAAGGGTGAAAAATACGTGTCGATGTATATTAACATGTGATTCAGCCACCATTCGAAAAGTATGGCTATCTACTTACAATTGGATTAGGTAGAAATTCGATATGATCTGTGGTTGGACAGCCGGAAGAGTCCCAAGCAACATACGTGTCGATTCATGTTGGAATGACTACACACTTAGAAAAATTTATGTAAATTTAGGTGCCCTGAGACTGACATATACGAGCGTCAATTTTGACATAAAATTGAGTCATAATAGACGTGAAATTCAGCTCAATCAAACGTACCTTCGAACTTTTCAGTCTCGGAGCACTTAATTTTACATGACATGTTTGTTTCGGCTCATCCTTTATGTCAAAGATGGATTCCGTCACGTGTAGGATTAGGTATTTCTAAGTGTGTAGTTCTCGGCAATTTGGTTACCAAATTTTAAGATTGAGCCACTATTTGAAAGGTACGATTATCTCATTTCGAACGAAACAGACAAGGAGCCCATTGGACTCATGGTTGACCAGTTGGAACGAAAAAGCCAGTGAGAGAGAGGTGGCGCTGTGAAAATTCGGATTGACAGGGAAAATGGTCCATTCCTGAAAGTAAAGACTGGACTCGGAAAAAAATGCGACACTTTGTTTTGAGTGTATCTTTTTTCGCGTGGGTAAAAATTAATGAAATTTAGTTTAGAGTGTAATGTATATGGGTGCAAAATTTTATCGCGATTTGTCAAGTAGTTTTCAAGATGCATTCGAAACAAGAAAAGCTACGCCAGCAAATCTTGGGTGCGGTGATCGATAATCCTGGTCAGTCGCACAGATGGATCGGCAAAAGGCTTGGAATCCACCATTACACCGTGTCCCGCGTTGTGAAGATGTTCCAGGAGACGAAGACCATTGAGCGGCGCGCTGGAAGCTGCCGAAAACCGAAAACGGAATACCCAGAGAAGGCGCGGAAGATAAGGCAGTACTTGCCCCGTAACGTGGGTAGATCACCTTTTCGTTGTACGTTACGGGATGTAAGATCTACCACCGATTCCTAGTCCTCACTACTTCAAATTAGGGGAACAGGATTTTTCAGTAATCAAAGGAACACACCTTAGTCCTTGTTACTTTTTATGCCTTGTTGATAGTGACAAGTCCCCGGGTTTCCTTGACCGAGGATGATCTTGAAACAAGGAAAAAATGAGTTAGTTTTCACCTATGTGATTCCAAATCTTCTATTCATTGTTCCCTAGTTTGAAGTGGTTAAGACTAGGGTTCTGATGCATGGTCATTATCGGTGTCATTGCTTGTTTTTGTTGCTAAGAGATCCAATTTTGATTGGCAAAGGAGCGCGCCTTTGGAGGGTGTTCCAACACTCCGAAGGGTATAAATAGCGGGACCTTTCAATTAGAGTCGGATCCTTGCGATAAATGCGAGAATGACAACTGTAAAAAAATCGAATGCTTCATCATTTCTCAATAGTGATGGAGTAATACGACATGCACTAAACTAAGGACACGGGATATACTACAATAGATCAAATTACTGGTCGCAGTAGTTTTATGTCCCGCACAGAGGAAAAAAAAAGGCAGTACTTTAAGAATAACCCGAACCTTTCCACCCGAGACGTGGCCAAAAAGGTCAATTCGTCGAAGTGGTTCGTCCATCAGACCATGAAGCGTGTTTTAAGGTCAGGAAGGCGCCAAACCGGACTGACAAGCAAAACACGGTGGCCAAATTGCGTGCGCGGAAGCTGTACCGTGGGTGGCTGGTCAAGCCAGGCTGTCTCGTCATGGACGACGAAACATACATGAAGGCGGACACCAAACAAATCCCCGGCCTCGAGTTTTTTGTCGGTACGTCCCGCATGGAGGTTCCGGAAAAGTTCTGGAAGAGAAAGATGGACAAATTCGCGAAGAAGTACATGTTGTGGCAGGCAATCTGCGAGTGTGGACGGTACAGCAAGCCGTTCGTTATAACCGGTACCATAAACGGGCAGATTTATCGAGAGGAATGCTTGCAGAAGCGCTTGCTGCCCTTCCTCCGCTCTCACCGTGGTCCCACGCGCTGGTCTGGCCGGATCTCTCTTCGTGCCATTACGCCAAGCCTGTAATGGATTGGTACGAAGCGAAGGGCGTTAATGTGGTCCCGAAGGAGGCGAACCCGCCAAATACACCAGAACTCTTCGTCCAATCGAAATGTTTTGGGCGATAATGAAGAAGAAGTTGAAGAAAAGCGGAAAAACATTCAAAACCGATGAAGCTTTGAAGAAAAACTGGGAGAAATTGTGTAAGGAAGAGCTTGAGCTTGAGCTTGAGCTTGATTGACCGCCCACGGTTGCTACTCTGTTACTGCCAGATCAGCTGTAATTACACAGAGAACCAATAGACGATGCTTGGGACTAGCAATCATCCTCAATGTGTAAAAACTGGTGATCTTAAATTAGGCAATACCAGCGCCGGCCGCGCCCGAACACAGGTCAAGAAAGGAATGGGAAGGATTGTGTTGACATGACACTCGCTTTGATGGAAGCCGAGAACACCTCTGCACTTCCACGAGGAATCACTGGGATGTTGGATAAGAGGGTTGGGTTTGCAGCAGGGTTCGTTTTGGTAAACGATAAGCTGAATTGATGTCCTAACGATCATATAACGCGAAGGAGCTTGGGACTAAACCCACGGTCTTCTGCTCAGTAAGCAAAAACGTTTGCCACTAGGCAGACGAGCACCTTTTTAATCACCGAGTTGCTGTTATTACCATGTAGTCATATTAACAAATAAAACGATTGACGAATCTTGAATGTGGATGGGCCTGAGATTAGACTCATGATTTTCTGCTCAGTAAGCAAAAACGTTTGCCACTAGGCAGACGAGCACCTTTTTAATCACCGAGTTGCTGTTATTACCATGTAGTCATATTAACAAATAAAACGATTGACGAATCTTGAATGTGGATGGGCCTGAGTTTAGACTCATGATTTTCTGCTCAGTAAGCAAAAACGGTTGCTCTAAGGCCACCGAGCCCCTCATATCACATAATACCGTTGCTCAAATTTGTGTATCCATTCAAACCCGGAACCAACGACAACAACGAGTTTCGCAAAATACACGATACACAAGCGATTTTACCATAAATCTCTTTGATATGTAAGGACCTGGGACTGCTCAGTAAGCAGGCCACTGTAACCGACGATCTTTCAAATCCGAAAACTAAAAACTACGATAAAGTACTTAGGCCTTCATTAAGTTCCACTTTCACGCGACGTTCAATGACAGGGTCCTATCCAGGATTACATCTGAAAAATCCAAATCTGGCCAACGCCCACCTTAAACCTAAACCTGTTCTAATCCACCTGAAATGACTACACGGCGAATGAGAACGACTCAAACTTGAGCCCAGCTCCCTCACAATCGCCAAAAGTGCAGGAACTCAGCGATGAGTAAAATTTGCCTTATGGTTTCCTGTGGAAAAACTAAAAAATCTGCCGGAAAATGAGGAAATTGACGAAAATTTTATTCAGTCTCGGAGTAGTACCAATAGACTGAGTGAATCCAAT